AACAGTGTTTTCAGCAAAAAGCCTGAAGGGAATGATTCTACTCACCAGAACATATGCAATAAGCTGTAATTGTTCTGGTGACTAGTAGTGATGTACCGAACTGTTCGCCGGCGAATAGTTCCCGGCGAACATAGCGTGCGCGGTTCGATCCGCCCCCTATTCGTCATCATTGAGCAAACTTTGACCCTGTGCCTCACAGTCAGCAGACACATTCCAGCAAATTAGCAGCAGACCCTCCCACCTCCCTCCCAGCATCCATTTTAGATTCATTCTGAAGCTGCATGCTTAGTGAGAGGAGGGAAAGTGTAGCTGCTGTTCATTAGATAGGGAAATTGATAGCTAGGCTAGGGTAGCTAGTGCCCACTACAGTCCTGAAGGACTCATCTGATCTCTGCTGTAAGGACAGCACCTCAAAAAACCCTTTTTAGGGCTAGAACATCAGTCTGCTTTTTTTTTTTTTTCTGTGTAATGTAATTGCAGTTGCCTGCCTGCCAGCTTCTGTGTCAGGCTCACAGTGGATACTGTGCCCATTTGCCCAGTGCCACGACTCATATCTGGTGTCACAATAGCTTAAGCTTGACATTTAAAAAGAAAAAAAAATGTTTTCACTGTAATAGATTGAATAGCAGTTAGTTGTCTGCAAAAGTCTGGGTGTCAGGCCTCCTTCAGCGTGTGCTCTGCAGACCTCTGCCCGTGTACTTTGCCACTCATATCTGGTGTCACAATAGCGTGCATTTAAAACCCAAAAACCTTTTTCACCGTTATAGATTGAATAGCAGTTAGTTGTCTCCAAGCATCTGTGTGTCAGGCCTGCTCATCTGCCCACAGTTAGGTGTCTGTCAAGGACATGTTTGAGCGTAAGAAGCCAAATGTCAGAAAGTCACCCCCTTGCCTGGCGTCTGACAGCTGGCTTGGCTGTACTATTAGCCCGCCAGCTTTTACCATACAAGCTGGTGGAGTCTGAGGTGTTCAAAAAATTTGTAGCTATTGGGACACCGCAGTGGAAGGTACCCGGCCGAAATTTCTTTTCACAAAAGGCAATCCCCAACCTGTACTCGATTGTGCAAAAGGAAGTAATGGCATGTCTGGCACACAGTGTTGGGGCAAGGGTCCATCTGACCACTGATGCCTGGTCTGCAAAGCATGGTCAGGGCATGTATATCACCTACACTGCGCATTGGGTAAACCTGCTGACGGCTGCCAAGCATGGAATGCGTGGCTCTGCAGAGGAGTTGGTGACACCGCCACGACTTGCAGACAGGCCTGCTGCCACCTCCTCTACTCCTCCTACTCCATCCTCTTCCATAACCTCCTCGGCTGAGTCCTCTTCTGCTGCTGCGTCTTGCTCCACATCAGCGGCACCCCCCCAGCTCCCCAGGTACTATTCCACATCCCGGATACGGCAGTGTCACGCCGTCTTGGGTTTGACTTGCTTGAAAGCAGAGAGTCACACCGGACAAGCACTCCTGTCCGCCCTGAACGCACAGGTGGAAAAGTGGCTGACTCCGCAGCAACTGGAGATCGGCAAAGTGGTTTGTGACAACGGAACAAATTTTTTGGCTGCATTGAAGTTGGGCAAGTTGACACATGTGCCGTGTGTAATCTGATCGTACATCCTTCTTGTCTCTGTACTTAACTGCCAACAGCTCCTCTTGGCGCAGAGCTGAGGTCTCCCCCTTCGTAGCCGGTTGCATGCAAGTTGTCCTGGGAAACCTGTGCTGTTCTTTTTAATTGTGCCGCAAGCTACTGTATCAAAACACTACAGTAGCTTGAACAAAGGGACACTTGTATAAAAAATATCAGTATACAAGTGGTACCCTTTGTTCATCAGGGGGAATATCAGGTCCCAGACAATCTTGCCACTGGTTCCCATATGTTCTGGGCAACCTGGAGGGTCAAGGAGGCTATCCTTTCCCTCGTACACCCGGAAGGTCTGAGTATACCCAGTCTCGCGATCACAGAGCTTATACATCTTTACACCATACCTAGAATGCTTGGAAGGAACATACTGCTTGAATCCCAGCCTTCCCTTATACTTCATCAGGGATTCATCCATGCATATATTCCTTCCAGGTGTATAAGCCTCTGCAAACCTGGCAGCAAAGTTGGTAATCAGGGGTGGATTTTATACAGCCTGTCAAACTGGGGATGCTCCCTAAGGGGACACAGGCTGTTGTCGGTGAAGTGCATGAAATGCATAATCATTTCATACCTCTTCCTCAACATACATTGGGAGTAAATGGGGGTAGAGCAGATGGGGCTACTGCTCCAGTAGGAACGGATGGAGGGCTTCTTTATTCTGCTCTGTGTCAGTGTGTATCAGGGGCTTTGAGGACAGATGTCAATCCATATCTGCCAAGTGACCCTATGTAGGGGTAACAGTCTCTATTCTGCTCTGTGTCAGTGTGTATCATGGTCTCTGAGGACAGGTGTCAATCCATATCTGCCAAGTGACCCTATGTAGGAGGAACAGTCTCTATTCTGCTCTGTGTCAGTGTGTGTAGGACAGGTGTCAATGCCAAGTGACCCTCAGTGAGTGTGTATCAGGTGAGGACAGGTGTCAATCCATATCTGCCAAGTGACCCTATGTAGGAGGAACAGTCCCTATTCTGCTCTGTGTCAGTGTGTATCAGGGATCCTTAGGACAGGTGTCAATCCATATCTGCCAAGTGACCCTATGTGGGAGGAACAGTCCCTATTCTATTATGTGTCAGTGTGTATCAGGGATCCCTAGGACAGGTGTCAATCCATATCTGCCAAGTGACCCTATGTAGGAGGAACAGTCCCTATTCTGCTCTGTGTCAGTGTGTATCAGGGATTTTGAGGACTCGTGTCAAGCCATATCAGTGTGTATCAGGGTCAGTGTGTATCAGGGATCTTAGGACATGTGTTAATCCATATCTGCCAAGTGACCCTATGTAGGGGGAACAGTCTCTATTTTGCTCTGTGTCAGTGTGTATCATTGTCTCTGAGGACAGGTGTCAATCCATACCTGCCAAGTGACCCTATGTAGAAGGAACAGTCCCTATTCTGCTCTGTGTCCGTGTGCATCAGGGGCTCTGAGGACAGGTGTCAATCCATATGTCAAGGTGTCAATATGTCAGGTGTCAATCCATATTCATTGTGATTTAGGAATGTTAGGTGATTTCTGCCCTTTATGGATTAAAACCAGACTCTGTATCAACTGTGTAATTTTTCATGGGAGTTTTGCCATGGATCCCCCTCCGGCATGCCACAGTCCAGGTGTTAGTCCCCTTGAAACAACTTTTCCATCACTATTGTGGCCAGAAAGAGTCCCTGTGTGTTTTAAAATTCGCCTGCCCATTGAAGTCTATGACGGTTCGCCCGGTTCGTGAATATTTGCGGAAGTTCGCGTACCGAAAATTTCAAAAAAAAATCAATAAAAAAAAAATCAAAAAGGCAGAAAAAAATGCTTATTGCCACTACACTTGATACAAGTTGAAAAATGATTCCACGCTAAGGTTCAAAACACGTCTTTTGAAATACCCTAGGGTGTCTTCTTTAAGAAATGGTATGCCTTTATCGGGTAGATTGAATAATTAATCTACAAAAAACCTCCAAAGTGGGGTATGGACACAGCGTAAAAATGTAAAGTTTGAAAAAAATTAAATGGCTGTGTCTCAAATGTGCCCCTTCAATGTCCGCATATACCTGGAAAATGTACATATGGGGGTATTGCTGTGCTCAGACAACATAGCTGAGCAAGATAGGAAGTATTATATAGCCTTAGCACACATAAGATTTGCAAAATACACAGTACAAACTCACTGTGTGTCAAAAAGGCAAAAAAAAAATGCTTATTACCACTACATTTGATACAAGCTAACGGAAAAATTATCCCACGCTAAGGTTAAAAATTTGCCTTTTGAAATACTCTCGGGCGTCTTCTTTAAGAAATAGTATGCCTTTTTGGGGTAGTTGGAAAAAGCAGCCTGCTAACATATTTAAAAATAGAATTTGGACCCATTAAAACTCTCCATGTAAATTCACACTTAAAAACCTGAACTTGTCACGTCTCTTTCACAGCACTGTAACTTCACAAAACAGTGTCTAGGTCATACATTGGGCTTATTGTTTTACTCAGAAAACGTAACTGAGCATACTTAGGGGGAATTTATGACAGTGGCACTTATCAAATGTAAGAAATACCCAGCGAAAATGCAACATGTATGTAAAAAAAAATTTGTTTTCTCACCACAAAATTTGAAATAAATTGGTGAAAAAAATGGTGGCAGGTTAAGGTATAATATATGCCTAATAGGGGCGAGACCTGACAGCCAAGATGGCCAGCCGCACATGCTGAGAGCTCCTGCAGCAGCAGGTAAAAGAATGACCATAACGAGCGATCCAAAAGTGCTAGTGGCAAACGGTGACCGGCATCAAACACAGGAAGACATGAGCTACAAAACTATACTGGACCAGCAACGGAGCACCACGGAAAAACCGACATTGGCCATGCGGCCTACACCAGAGCGGGAACTGAGGTTGGGGGAGGCGGCCGATTCCCCGGCCCAGGGTGCACTCACAAACGAGAGAACACAACAGCCCTGCTGCCCCCCCCTCTGGACCGGCAGGGGACATCCCGGTCCTCGCTGAGGACGAATACCCCCACATCGCTGACAGCCCAAGCGACAAAACTCTCATG